TAGAAGAGCTAGTAGGGTTGAGTTTGGGGGAAGCAAGACAGGCTACATACTATGCAAGGCCCAATGCAAAATAAAAATGTGGGGCCCCTTGTTCAAAATTATTAAGAATTTCAATACAACAACAGCAGAGCATTTAAGCAAGCATTGGCCCAGTATGACTATATGGGTCACACACCCGTGAAGCCACCATGGGGTGGGCAACAGAGGTCAGAAGAGGAGGGATCCTGCTAGGGGTCCAGTTAATGAGAGACGAGGGAGAAGAGGCCTGTCTAATGGAGACATGTTCAGTGAAATGCTGTACAGTGTGGATCCCCTCCTCACGATACCATATATCTTTAGCAAAATTGCAAATTCCCCACACACTTCTGCAAATAGTTTCTTGTGGAAGCTGGTGAAGTGGCTGGTATGGGGCCCAAATAGAATAAGCCAAGTGGCTTAGGGGACAGCTGACACCTGCTTATTTGTCTAACATTTTCCATAAATCCAGGGGTTTAGGTAAAGAACCCATGTTCTACGACAAGCAATTTCCCTATGTTATATAGGATCAAGGATCCAAGTGGCCTTTTGTTTGTTTATTTATTAGTGTAGCAGGATGTTACATGATACTTTCTCTGTTGCTCAGAGTTGGCGACTGGGGACCGCATCTGGATGTACAGAGGTTGCTAATACCTGACATTATAGAGAAAATCATGGGTGGCTGGAGCTGGACATCACTTCATGGTTTGCTAAGAGATGGCAGAGCTGCTGCAGCCCTGCCTCGCCGTGCCCCTCTCAGATGTGTAGTTATGAGAGTTTGGCCTGGAGCGGGGGTGGGAGGGGGGATTTGCTGCAGCTACCTCTCCCCCAAGAAGCCAAGTCACTCACAGAGAGTGGGGTTGTGACGGCGGCACTGGCATGCCATTTCTGACTGGCTGTTTGCTTAGGCAGTGAGCTTATTGATCTGCCCTCACCCCTCCTAAACAGGGGCCAGGTGGGCTGGAGACAAATGGGGGGCAGGCTGTGGTCCTGCCCTTGTTGTGGCTGGATGTCTGCATTTTCTTTTCTTTTCTTTTTTTTGGCTGGCCAGTACAGGGCTCAAACCCCAGATGGTGGTGTTATCAGCGTTATGTTTCACCAGCTGAGCTAACCAGCTGGATATGTGCATTTCCTATGCATTAGGTAGATGCTGGGAAGGTAGCTGGCTTGAGCCTTTCTTTCTGGCAATGGGTGTGCAGATGAGATGAGGGTAGGTGGAGGGGATCAAATAGCATCAGATCCCCCAGGGTGGAGATCTGGGCTGTGCGAAGAACTCCGTTGTAGAAGCAGCTACTTTATGTAGAGAGGACGAGACAGGTATTCCCGCCCCCCTAACCCATCCTTCTCTTGCCCACCCGAACTCCCTGGAGAAGATAGGAGGGGAGATGGTTTTCCAGGGCCTGCCGTCTTCCCTCCCACTAGAGAAAGGGGCAGAGAAGGAAAGAGCAGACCTTGCCCCTGCCCGCTGCAGGTTCTTCCAGCCACCAGCCCTGCCAGTGATGGGGGAGGGTACACTTTGCTTTGGATATGAGGTCAGTGTCTTCAGCTGGACTTGACAGAGTTTTTTAATATCAAAAAGTGATCGAGGAAGTTATGGAATCTGTCCAGAGTATCATCAAGAGATCTCTACCCAGCAGGGGAGAGAGATTCAACATGACCCGGCTGGGCACACGATGGGAGAAAAATAAAACCATTTCCTGTGTGCACCCTGTGGAGTCGAGACTGTTCAATAAACCAGTTGTATCTTATTAAGGACTTCATATTCTTAGGACTAAAGTTGAATCACTGTGCATTTATGTTGTGGTGTGCTGAGTTTATAAATGGCTAGTTGAAGAGTGGCCAGATATTTTTCTGCAAATCAAAAACTTGAAATATTAAATGAAGGGGAAAAAAGACACATCAGAGGCAAATTTCTGGTTATAGATAGAGGAGGAGACACTAAAACAGATAACTAATAGTTGCCTTTTTCTTTTATCTGCCTGTAATCCAAAAGTTTCTCTTGTAATACTACACAGAGAGATGTTAGGTTTTAAATGTTAATCTATCATAGGTTCACTGGGGGTTGACTCAACAACAAAAAATGGGTATATAAAGGCATGTTTATAAGTGATTTGCTCTCCTTGTTCACTTATTTGTTGGCCATGTTATTCTGTTAAGTTATTTTTTATCATAATATTTGTCAGGGTACTCTTCTATTTATTTATCTTTTATTAAGTATAACTATCTCATAATTTTTACATACTGTAGTGATGTGGCTTTAGTCTCTCTCTCTCTCTCTCTCTCTCTCTCTCTCTCTCTCATTACTGCAGGTTTCTTAAGCATTTGCAATGCTCTTTTTTATTCAGGCAAAAATCATTTCAACTTCACATTACAAATATTCTTAAAAAAATTTTTTTAGAATAACTTTCAAGACACCAGCTGTACTGACAATGGAAAATTGCCATCGGTGGTACATAACCCATCAGATGAGTGCAGCCACTCTTCTTTGTCTTCACTGTAGAGGCCACAGCTTTATGCCATCTTTAGGGACAGGCTCCAGATTCCTTATTTTTCCTGTTTCAATTCTGCACCATTTATTTTCTTGAATGCCAGTCTCCTAAAATGTAAGTAGTACAAAATCTTCTTATTCATCAGAACGATCGCGTGCAAGAGCCTATAAAAATACCAGCCATACGCCTAATGGCCTAATTATACTGGAGTTAAATTGTGCTGCACTTGAAATGAGCACGATATTGACGGGATGCTGAATTTGTGATGGGCACTCAGGCTCAAAATCTCAGCCGTTCTCCTTTCTCTCCCTCGCAGCCCCACCCCCCACTCCCAACATCTGATGAGTTACCAAGCTCTACCTCTGTGTGAGATCCCAGGACGTCAGCAGGTAGGTCAGCCGTCTCCCTCTCCTGATGACTGACGCCCACTTCCTTGTCCGGGACTGGATGTCTGTGCTGTCTGTTCCTCCTCCACCCGTCCAGCCTCTTCCTCTCCTCTCCGCATACTCTTTGCTCTTGTCAAACTGAACCTTGGCTGCTCTCAGCTCTCTTTGCTTTAGTGCCTCTGCTCATACTGTCCCTTTGCCTGAAGATGACTGTCTCCTCCCACCAGTCTCCCAATGTTCAAAATAGAGTTGCCTTGCAAAGGCCGATACCCACATACAGAAACAACCTCTTCTATCTGACCTCTGTGGGGCCTTATTAGTGCCTCTCTCATCTTATTTCACTCATTCTATCAAATATTGAGGGCTTGCTACATGGCAGACACAGTTCTGGGTACTGGGGATATGGCAGTGGATAAAACTTGCAGAATTTATACAAGTGAAATTCTAATTAAAGGGGACATACCCTAAATATATATGTCAGGAAGGATAAGTACCATGGACAAAAATAAACCAGGTGTGTTCTGAAAAGGTCTCTCTGATAAGGTGACACAGCCTGCCACCTTATTTCTTTCAGGTCTTAACTAAAGCAACACATTCTATTTTGTATCATAAAAAAATTTTTTTTTTGTTACATATATCCCCTACTAGAAAATAATAGGCACTTTATTAACTTTTAAAATCTTATAGTACCTTGCACTCTGATTTTTACATAGTTGATAATACTTATTAATTAATAAAAAGAATGATTATAACAGGATTTATTTATAAAATGAAATCCATAAAAAAAAGAAAAAACTTTGATTAAAAGTTGGGGAAGAAAATCTTCAGCATTTGAGACATGGGTTATTGAGATGGTGTCCTGTGTACTTGAGTACAACTCTCTCACGTGGGACTTTTTATGTTGTAGAGGTCAAATGTTGGACATTATGTCATAGGCTTAAACTCCCAATCCTGTGTTTGCAGGGACTTAGTTTGCAGCTATAGAATAATGAGACTGAAGTCTGTGCGCAGCTTAGGGGAAGCTGTCTCATTACTCTGTGCCTGTAGCCATGTGTATTACACCTGGCCTCCTATAGTTCTCAAATTATAGGTATTTATTTCCCTGTGTCTTTGCCTTTCTCCTTCATAGGAACTTACTTTCTCAGAACCTTATTTTGAAAAACTACAGTCTTTTTTTAAGTTTCTGGACCAGCTCTATATGACTGCCCATGCACTTTGACTGGTTTTCAGGTATTTACCTTGGTTGTTTTTGATCAGGATTCTGGATTTCTTGGCACTGGCAGGTCACGAAGTAAAGTAACTCACTGGCAGGTGGTGAATGCGTAGGTGGTTGATGCAAATCACTCAGTGTCTTGGGGACACTTTTGGCTGTTGTCATTCTTCCAAACCTTTGGGGCAGATTAGG